TCCCCCCCCCCCCCCCTTTCCCCCATCCATAGCTTGGCTTTCCCTGGAGAAATAAGAAGAAAAGAATACAACGCACGCATCATAACAACAATATAATATTATATAATTTTGTGCGGCTGCAAAAACACTAATTAATTTTTAAAATGTGCAACCAACTTATTTACAATTAATTTTGGACATGTCTCACTGAAATTGCAAGTAAGAAACTTACATTAATATGTTTGTCTTAGTAAGCGTTTCACGGCACTTGCAACACAGTTAAGTCATAACAATCATAAGTGTCGAAGATAGCAAGTGTTACAAAAGACTAACAGACACAAAAAAAAGGAAGAGAGATAACGACGATAGTTGATTGATAGGAAAAAAGAGCAAATCACACCATATCAGAACACCCACCAACCACCCACAAACTCACGTTGATTTCGTTCTACTTCTACAATCCTACCATAAACTTTATGATAAAGCGCACAGTGGAAGCCAGTGGTCAGCGGAAGGTAGATTGCTATCATGTATACTGCATGCCAGGTGGAAGAGGAACGTGAATACTGCAGCTGTACATGGTCTCCTTCCGTCAATCACGGTAGAGTGGGTCAAACACGACAATTAATAATAATATCATGCACTGAACAGATGGATAAGGAAGGCTCAAATATCTGGGACGACTTGGCTTGACAGGCTAGTCAGCAGTGTTTTGAAAATCAATGAACTCCGCGGCAGGCAGCAGCACATTAGACTACTTTATGTATAGTATACGCTTGTCACAATCCAACTTTTTAATTATTTTAATAAATCAACCCGTTCAGCGCACACTGTGACAAATGGTGCAAAACACATCTAACAAAGAGGACTTGTGGTTGAATTTTGGCTGGATTTATGAAACCACAAACACGATCCTTAGAAATACCACGACCAGTAGCCTCTACATTACTAACTAGATATGTTATTTACATTTATCTTGCACTGCAGCACGGAGCAATTATTGCCTATGTAGTGGAATAGTTTATAATAAAAATTGAAAGACATAATACTTTTTGTTTTGATTCTGTTGACATAGGTATGTAATGTACGCAATGGGATTGTGAGTGTGCGCTCGCGGGCGTGTGTGTGTATGAGTGTGTGTGTGTGTGCGTGTGTGTGTGTGTGTGTGTTTGTATGTGTGTGTGCATAACACACACGAGAAAAATATCGACC